TAAGCATCTCAAAATATAGTTTTACCCACTGATTTGAGTGTGTTGCTTGTTTAGAGTTTTCAAATCATAATTCTACACTCATTTCTCAAAACTCAATTCAAAACACAATCATTACTTTTCAAAACTCATAACCAAACACATAATTCAAAATTATTTTCAAAACTCAATTCAAATCAATATTTTAATTTTATTAAGATTTTAAATATTTTAATATTTAAATATGTTACGATTTTTTTAATTTTTTGAATATTTTTATGTGTTTGGTTACGATTTGAGTGTAGAGTTGTGAAAGTAGTATGGAGTTTCGAGTTATGTGTTTGGTTATGAGTTTTAAAAATAATTTTTTAATTGAGTTTTGTTTTATGTGTTTGGTTACGATTTGAGTGTAGAGTTGTGAAAGTAGTATGGAGTTTCGAGTTATGTGTTTGGTTATGAGTTTTAAAAATAATTTATTAATTGAGTTTTGTTTTATGTGTTTGGTTACGATTTGAGTGTAGAGTTGTTTTAAATTTAAAATATTAACATTTTAAATTATTTAATTTTTTTTAGTATTTAAATTATTTAAATTTTTACCATTTAAATTTTTTGAATATTTATTTTAATTTTTTACTTATTAATTTTTTTAGATTATTTAAATTATTTAAATATTTATGATTTAATTTTTTTGAATTTTTATGTTGAAAAAAAATTATTTCCTTTATAGTATTTTCAATTAAAAAATTGATTAATATTATTTTCTGTTAATAATAATTTTTTTAATTGAATTATAAAAAAAGTTTGGTTATGAGTGTTAATCAAAATTTTCAATAGTGTGAAAGTAGTGTGTTTTGTCATGAGTTATAATAATTTGAATTAAGTTTTGAAAATTATTTTTAAAAATCGTAATCAAACAAATTTTCTTAATTTATATGTCAAATTAAAATTTCAGAACTCAATTTTATGCTCAATTCAAAACTCAATTCAACACTCTATTCAAAAATCATAATCAAACAAATTTTTTACACTCAAATTATAATTTTACAACTCACAAACTTAAAATATAATTCATACTCTCAAATTATATTTACAAAATTCTACCAAACGCAACCTAAAAAACTATTCCCAAACCCCCCCCAAACAATTTGAAAATTTGTTCGACAAACAAACAGCCCAGGTGCATGTGAAAAATTCTGGAAGGAGAGATAAAGGGAAGGGAAAACGACGTGCGTCAAAGGGCTTCCCAGTGAAACGGCATCGTTTCAGAGCTCCAAAACAACCACGTCAGCGATACAACTGTCAGGTCTGACACGAGAGCAGAAATAACATTATGACGAGTCTGTCATTCAAACCCTCCAATATCACAGCCGTCAAAACTCAGACTCCCCAATTGAAAAATTATTACTTTATCCCGAAAGTTACGTGATCATACTCCACCCCAAATCATAATCTATTTTTTATTTTTTTAAGTCGTATTAATTAGCCTCCGTTTGGGAATTGGGTTGATTTTTTGACTTTTTGACTTTTTTAGCTATTTTAGCCCGGGTTTAAAAGCATGGTTTGGGAATAATTTTTTAACTTTTTGACTTTTTTAAGTTTTTTTGTGAGAGAAGAATGTAATGATTATGGGTTGGATGTGATGTTTTGTTTGTTATGGCTAAAATAGCCTATTTTGTTTTTTGTGGCTAAAATAGCCAAAAAAGCCTGCAAACCCACTTGCCAAACACAGGTTAATCTCTTTTTATTTTTTATTTTTTTATAAACTATTTTATAAAAAATTTAAAAAATATATTTATTTAAAAGATTTCAAATAGGAATGGCAACGGGACGGGGCGGGGCCGGGGATCGCACTCCCCGTCCCCGATCCCCGATGGTCGAATTTTCCCCGGTCCCGGCCCCGATCCCCGACGGGGATCCTATCACTGCCCCCACCCCCGCCCCCAACGGGGATCGGGTTTCCCCGACCCCGAGCATTACAAATTTTTTACACTCAAATTATAATTTTACAACTCACAAACTTAAAATATAATTCATACTCTCAAATTATATTTACAAAATTCTACCAAACGCAACCTAAAAAACTATTCCCAAACCCCCCCCAAACAATTTGAAAATTTGTTCGACAAACAAACAGCCCAGGTGCATGTGAAAAATTCTGGAAGGAGAGATAAAGGGAAGGGAAAACGACGTGCGTCAAAGGGCTTCCCAGTGAAACGGCATCGTTTCAGAGCTCCAAAACAACCACGTCAGCGATACAACTGTCAGGTCTGACACGAGAGCAGAAATAACATTATGACGAGTCTGTCATTCAAACCCTCCAATATCACAGCCGTCAAAACTCAGACTCCCCAATTGAAAAATTATTACTTTATCCCGAAAGTTACGTGATCATACTCCACCCCAAATCATAATCTATTTTTTATTTTTTTAAGTCGTATTAATTAGCCTCCGTTTGAGAATTGAGTTGGTTTTTTGACTTTTTGATTTTTTTAACTATTTTAGTCCGGGTTTAAAAGTATGGTTTGCGAAGAATTTTTTGGCTTTTTGACTTTTTAAAGTTTTTTTGTGAGAGAAGAATGTAATGATTATGGGTTGGATGTGATGTTTTGTTTGTTATAGCTAAAATACCCTATTTTATTTTTTGTGGCTAAAATAGCTAAAAAAATCTGCAAACTCACTTCCCAAAAACACAGGTTAATCTCTTTTTTTTTTTAATTTTTTTATAAACTATTTTATAAAAAATTAAAAAAATATGTTTATTTAAAAGATTTCAAACTACCCCTTATTATATAATTTTGGACAAATTACATATACCCCTCGAGATTTAACTAAATTATAAATACCCTTAAGATTTGAGAAATTACAAATTTTTTCTTGAATGCTATATTTGTATAAGAAATTAGGGAGTAATTTATTATGAAATATAAACCTCAGGAGACAAATTGTTATGAAAATATAAACCTCAGGAAGCGGGATGTAATTTTCGAAACCTCAGAGATATCTGTAATTTAACTAAACTTCGAGGGAGGTATATGCAATTTGCCCTATATTTTTATATTATTTAATTACTTAATATAAATTCATAAATTTCATTCATTTAATCAATCACAGCATTCGCGCTGTTTGGGAACATATTTTTTGTTTTTTTTTTTTCACTAAAAGATAAATTAATTATAAAATCAAAAAAAATAAATTCAAACAAAATATTATATCAAATTTCATAATCATTTTATTTTTCTCTTACCAACATCATATTCAACTACAAAAAATCTAATTATCTTTTCAAACATAAATTTTTTTTCTAATAATATCTTATAATTAAAAAAACTTAAAAAAAAACTCACTTTTCAAACACTCCCATTATTGGGCACGACTGGGACACCATCTAATAACTTCTCCTTTCCATCAGATAAGTACACCCCCACCCTATTGGACCGGTACCAGCATTGCCTTTAGCCAGTCAGGGCTTGTTTATTTTGAAAGATTAGGACGTGGGATTGAAATTAATAGTCTATTGTTTATTTGAAATTTTTTCCTTCGAACTAATAGTCTTTCGGACTATTAATCTCATAAATATGAAACTGTTCTATCCCCTCAGAAATTATAGAATTGGTATTTTATGGGATTAATTTGTGAAATATTCATTTTACTTTTGTACTATTACTTAATACTGTAAACAATTAGAAAATAAAAAAATAGTCTTATGAACATTTATAAATTATTTTTTTAATGTTATTAATTTATTTAATGTTATTAATTTAAAATTATATATTAAATAAGAAATTTAAATTATAAATTTAATTGAATTAAAAATAATAAATTAAAAATTATGACTTTATAAATTAAATTTTTTTAGTGTTGTTAAAAAATTAAATCTAGACATCTGTTTCAAACATAATGATGTGTCATTGCCTTAAAATATCCATGACAATTCCCTCTCTCATATATTTTTTTAATTATAAATCAATCATTTTATTTACACATTATTAAATTTAAAAAATAAGTTTAGAATGCATACTTGCATATCATTTTCCCTAAAGAATGGGTGAGATACATTTTGCTAAGAAAGCTTTAGGATATTTGACAAACTTATTTACTGAAAAAAAGAAGAAGTTATCAATGTGTCAAATAAAATAAATTTTTTATTTGTAAAAGTTTTAGGCCAAGTTTGGCTACTGTAAAAAAAGTGCACTTATTTCATCTTTTTATCTTTTTGGGTCACATCAATCAGCATCTCCTCTCTACTTTTTCTACACATAATACAAAAAAAGTCAAAAAGTACACTTATTTAGTCTTCCCAAACTAGGCCTAATATCGAACAAAAACTTAAGATCCAACCCCTACAATATTAATAGATGTGAATTTAATAGTGATATTTTAAAATTTTGACCGTGAGCATATCAAAATTTGACTTTAAAATATTTAATAATATGAACATATAAGTTTTTCGAATTAAAGTGCCTAATTAAGATTGAATTTATATAACATGCGTAGATTAATTTAAATCAAATATGAAAAATTTGAATAAATTTTTATTTTTTTAAAATAGAATTAAGAAAAATTAGTGAAATATTTCTCTCAAACTTTGGATAATAGAAGATGTCTAATATGTTTTTTTTTTATTAATTAAGTTCCCTCAATAATATTATTAGAAAAATTACTTTATAAAAATATTGAAAATCCCTAACTATTTTGAAAATATTACATATTTTTTATCTTGTAAAATTTTAATATAAGAGAACTTAAATACTCTTTGAATTATGTAGATACAATTTTATTGGGCCTATTTTAAGAAGGAAGTTAGAAGTTGATTTTTAAATTTTTTTCAAAAAATATATAAAAAATAAAAAATAATGTAATGTAATGTAAAAAAGTCAAAAAAAAAATTAAAAAATAATTTTTAACTAATTTTCCAAAATAGGTTACCTGTAAGGCCATTCAGACGTTGACGGCCGTTAACTATCTTCATCATTGATTTTGTTTATTCATTCAAGTTTGATACACTGTCGAACAGTTCGATTCTTCACAATGCAGCTTCCTGCTGTTATATATTTGAACTGCCCAATGCGATAATACGCGTCGCGTCTCGTCTCTGAAACAACCAAAGCAAAGCCAACAGTGGAAACCCAGAAAGAGCCAGAGATGAGAACACTTTCGTGTGATCTTCTTCTGCTCCTCCATATTTTTGCTATCTCTCTCTTATTTTCACGCTCTTCTCGTGCCTACTCTGACCTTGAACTTCTGTTGAAGCTCAAGTCCTCCATGATCGGCCCGTCTGGCTCAGGACTCGATGACTGGGTTTCAGACTCCCCATCTTCATCTCCCACCTCGCATTGTTTTTTCTCTGGAGTTTCATGTGACGAGCACTCACGAGTCACCTCTCTCAAAATCTCTTCTCTCCCTCTGTTCGGAACCATTCCGCCGGAGATTGGCCTTTTCACCAGTCTAATCAATCTCACTCTCGTCGCCGACAATCTCACCGGTCATTTACCGATTGAGATGTCGAAATTAACCGCTATCAAGTTCATAAACCTCTCAAGCAACACCTTCATCGGTGAGTTCCCCGGAGAAGTCGTTGCCACCATGTCGGAGCTTGAATCGCTCGACGTGTACAACAACAACTTCACCGGGAAGCTCCCGACGGAGTTTGCGAAGCTGAAGAAACTGAAAACTCTTCATCTCGGCGGAAACTTCTTTTACGGCGAGATTCCGGAGGCTTTTACTGAGATACAGAGCTTGGAGAGCTTAGGGTTACAGGGAAACGAACTTACCGGGACCATTCCGGCGAGTCTGGCTCGGCTGTCGAATCTTCAAGAACTCTGTCTCGGTTACTTTAATCAGTACGAAGGAGGTATTCCTCATGAGTTAGGATTGATGACAAATCTCCGACTCCTTGATCTCGGTGGCTGTAACGTCTCCGGTGAGATTCCTGCGAGTCTGAGCAATTTGAAGATGCTTCACACTCTGTTTCTCCAATTCAATCAACTCACAGGTCTCATTCCTCCAGAACTCGCCGGTTTAGTCAGTCTCAAATCACTCGATCTTTCCGTTAATTTTCTCACCGGAGAAATTCCGAAGAGCTTCTCTGAATTGCAGAACCTTACGCTAATCAATCTGTTTCGCAACAATCTTGAGGGTCCAATCCCTTCGTTCATCGGAGATTCCCGAATCTCGAGGTCTTGCAGATTTGGGAGAACAATTTCACGTTGGAGCTGCCGGCGAACCTTGGCCGTAATGGAAAGCTGTTGAGGCTTGACGTGGCGACGAATCACCTCACCGGAACGATTCCTCGCGATTTGTGCGAAGGAGGGAGATTAGAGACGTTAATTTTGATGGAGAACTACTTCGTCGGCCCGATTCCTGAAGAACTCGGTGAGTGCAAATCACTGAATCGTGTACGCCTCGTGAAGAACTTCTTCAGTGGAACCATACCAGCCGGTTTCTTCAACATGCCATTTTTGGAGATGCTCGAGCTCAGCGACAACTTGTTCACCGGCGAACTTCCTTCGGAGATTTCAGGCAAGGCACTCAGTATAGTCTCCGTTTCTGTCAACAAATTCACCGGGAAAGTTCCGCCGGCGGTCGGGAATCTGGTTAATTTGGTGAATCTGGCTCTCGACGAGAACCAATTTTCCGGTGAAATTCCGGAGCAAATCTTCAATTTGAAGAATCTTACGTCGATCAATCTTAGCGGCAACAACATCAGCGGCGAAATTCCGTCTTCGATAACTGACTGTAAGTCCCTAACTTCGATTGATTTCAGCCAGAACGATTTGTACGGTGAAATTCCTGTAAAGCTTACGAAGTTAATCAACTTGGGGATACTCAATCTATCGAGAAATCATCTGACCGGTCCAATACCTGTTGAAATGGCTTCAATGGCGAGCTTAACGAAACTAGACCTTTCCTACAACGACCTCTCCGGTAGAATTCCCACCACCGGCCAGTTTCAAGCCTTCAACTCCAGCTCTTTCGCCGGAAACTCGAAGCTCTGTACATCACGTAATCAATCTTATTGCCCCATACTCCAAAATCCAACTCCATCTTCAACAAATCGCCACACGGCGTCGTTTGGGACTGCTAAGCTGATTATAGCCGTCATCGGTGTCGTCACCGTAGTGCTGTGTTTGGTGGTTACTTTTGTGCGAATCAGACAGAAGAGACTAGTGAAATCAAGAGCCTGGAGGCTGACCACATTCCAGAGGCTCGATTTCAGAGCTGAGGACGTTCTGGAGTGCTTAAAAGAAGAGAACATTATCGGCAAAGGTGGTGCTGGGATCGTTTACCGCGGGTCCATGCCGGATGGTCTCGACGTGGCGATAAAGCGGTTAATCGGGCGTGGTTCTGGCCGGAGCGATCACGGATTTTCCGCCGAAATACAGACCTTAGGGAGGATCCGGCACCGGAATATCGTGAGGCTGTTGGGGTACGTGTCGAACAAGGACACGAACTTGTTGCTGTACGAGTACATGAGGAACGGGAGCTTGGGGGAGATATTGCATGGGTGTAAAGGAGCTCATTTACAGTGGGAGGCGAGGTATAGGATCGCGGTTGAGGCGGCCAAGGGGTTGTCTTATCTTCACCATGATTGTTCGCCTCTCATCATTCACAGGGATGTGAAGTCGAATAACATATTGCTTGATTCGGACTATGAAGCTCATGTTGCTGATTTTGGGCTCGCCAAGTTCTTGGAGAATGCTGGAGCGTCCGAGTGCATGTCATCTATTGCTGGTTCTTACGGTTACATTGCTCCAGGTCAGTCATCACGCATCCTTCATTTTTATTTTATTTTGAAAGTTTAAAATGATATTTTAATACTTTGTAAAAAGCGTGATGTTAATGAAATATTTTGTTAAAAACCGTTTCTGAACATAATTCATCAAAAATATTTAAATTTTTTCCAACAAAAAAGAGCGGATTCTATTGGATTCCATGGTTGGACGATGCTGGTGGGACTGTAAGGTCAACTATGAGTTATATTTCGACTATATCATCATTTTGTACGTGGCATTTGGTTTATTGAAATGAAACTTGATGAAATAATCATTTTATCAAAATATTATTCAGTGTTTGATCGATTAAAAAAACAATTGACAATTTATTATAAGTGAAATTATCATTTATTATTGCAATGAATAGTTATTCTATATAGAGTAATATAAGAGAGTAAGGAATGATTATTGAATAATATTAAGCATCTAAATAAAAAATATTATAAAATGTTTCATGAAGATTTTTTATCATTTGATTAGTGCGGTGTTTTTTTATGTGTAATTTAAGAGTAGAAAATCTTTCATAATTATTTTTATGATATTTTTTTTACATGATACCTAGTATTATCCATTTTATTTTATTCCATTCATTTCAATAAACGAAGAACGAGCATTCAATTTTATTACCAGCATTTTTAGATAGAGTTTTTCACAGTAATGTTGTGATAGTATGATTTGTATAATTAAGAGTAAGGAAAGATTATGTATACATTCTCAAATTAACGTAACTTTGTATTTTTTTTGAGTTATAATTAAAAAGGAAAAAAATTTATAATTAAATACTACACTAACTCTTTGTATAAAATTATAATTTAAAAGTGATATGGTAAGAAAATTAATAAACTCTTAACAAACCAACTCTTTGTATAAAATTAAGGAAAAAGTTAGGGATTATGAAAATTTATTCATAAAAATGATCATGAAAAATTTATGATATTTGGATTATCTTAATTAGTGTATGATACTTTATTTTAAGTATAATTTAAAAGTCACAAAGCTTTAATGATTATTTTTATGCCCTAACATTGTTATAAAATTAATGATAAATTATGATAAGCATCTTAAACCAAAATTAATGATAAATTATGTATAAAATTTATGTTGTTACGTATAGTAGATTATTTATAGCTCAAAAAGTCAGTTAAATCATTTTATGTATAAATTTTTTGAAAGCACTTTGTTATTATATTACTACTCATTGGAAAACGTTTTAAGTATTTTGACTGTGCCTCTGTTTGGCAAGTTGGTTCTTGGGCTTTTTTGGCTATTTTAGCCACAAAAGATAAAATAGGCTATTTTAGCCATAACAAAAAAACATCACATCCAACCCATAATCATTATATTCTTCTCTCACAAAAAAACTTAAAAAAGCTAAAAAGTCAAAAAGCCCTTCCCAAACCAAGCTTTTAAGCCCAGGTTAAAATAGCCAAAAAAATCAAAAAGCCAAAAAGCCAACCCACTTCCCAACGGAGGCTGTATTATGAACGCCCTTTCTAAAGTCTCCCCTTTAATGATGAGCTCTGTGTTTGGTGTTATGTACAAACAGAGTACGCCTACACACTGAAAGTCGACGAGAAAAGCGATGTATACAGTTTCGGCGTGGTACTTTTGGAGCTGATCACCGGCCGGAAGCCAGTGGGCGAGTTCGGAGAAGGGGTGGACATAGTGAGGTGGGTCAAGAAGACGATATCAGAGCTCACTCAGCCATCTGATACAGCTTCGGTGCTTGCAGTCGTCGATCAAAGACTCAATGGGTACCCACTTCCGAGTGTCATCAACCTGTTTAAGATTGCCATGATGTGCGTCGAAGAAGAGAGTGTTGCGAGGCCTACGATGAGGGAAGTTGTGCACATGCTTACCAATCCTCCCCAGTCTGCTCCTAACCTCGGTACCCTTTAGACTCTTCACATTTGATTTTGGTGTGAATAATGCTAATCTGGATTTGTAATAACTTTGACTGCAAAGACAAATGGTTAGATTTTGCAGCCAGTAATGTTTGGGCTGTTTTGTTGCTTTATTTCGATGTTTTGTTTAGCTCTGCTGTGTTTTGCCCCTTGAATTGTACATATTCTAATGCAATTAAATTTATGATGTCCATGAATGTCCCAGGAAAGTAATCTCCCATTTGTGTAGTTGTCTGGTTTTATACATGACTATGGGTCGTTTGGCAATCCACCAAAAAAAACTTTTCAAAAGTGTTATTAAAAAAAAATTAAAAAGTCAATAAATATTAGAAAGTTTAATATTTATTTTTATTTAATATTATTTTTACATATTTTCTTATAAAAAATTTAAAAATTGATTCAAAATATATATTTTTTATTTTATATTTTTAATTAAAAAATGAAAAGTCATTAAAAACACGTTTTCAAACTACTCGAATTTGTTAGTATGTTTTTAATAATAATTATTTATTATTTGAATACAATTTGATTTAATTGTGTATACAGTTTATGTAGTTAATTTGAATTTTTTTATACATGATTTTTGTTAATATTTTACTAGTTGTTGAGATGTGGGTTGTTTTTTTTGTTATTTTAGTTTAGAATTAAAAAAAATTGTTGGATTGAGTTTTTTTTTTTTTTTTGTAAAAGAAAAAAATAAAATAATTATAATTTAGATGTGATATTTTATTTTATTAATTTTTTAATTTATTATCTTTTTATAATTATTTTAGTTTCAATCTCATTTTAGCCTATGTTGAATGAGAGCGAAAATGAATATATTGATTTCAAGGATGGATCATTAAGACTCAAAATCACATTTTGGTTTTTTAACACATTTTTTTAAAAAAAAAAAAAAAATTTAAAAGGTTAAAATTTAATTTTTAACCAACTTTTCAAACAATCCAAAGTCACAGCTAAACAAAAACAAGCTTAATGAACTTTTTTTTAACTAAGCCTCCGTTTGGCAAGGGCTTTTTCAGGTTTTTTTGGCTATTTTAGTCACAAAAAACAAAATAGGCTATTTTAACCATAACAAACAAAACATTACATCCAACCTATAATCATTACATTCTTCTCTCACAAAAAAAGTTAAAAAAGTCAAAAAGTCAAAAAGCCCTTCCCAAACCAAGCTTTTTAGCCCAGGCTAAAATAGCCAAAAAAGCCAAAAAGCCAAAAAGCCAACCCACTTCCCAAACGGAGGCTAATAAGGGTTTGGTTGGTTTTAACTTTTTGGCTAAAAAATACAAAAGGCGAAATAAAATGTCATATTTGAATCATAATTATTCCATTTTTTCTTTTAAGAAAGTCAAAAAAATTAAACCAAACAAACTTTTAATCTCAGACTAAAATAATAATAAAAAAATCTAAAAATTCAACAAAACAAAACATATTGTCAAACGACAACTGACCTAAGTTTTAAGTGGTTGTCAAACCTAAGTTTTTAGCTGAAGGCAAGTTTAAGTGAGTGTTTGGGAAGTGGGTTTTTTGTAAGTTTTTTTAATTGTAGGATATTATTGGAGAAATTTTTTTTTGTGTTTAGGACGATAATTGAATTTTTTTGTAGTTGGATGTGATGTTTATGAGAAAAAATAAAATGATTATGGGATTTGATGTGATATGTTGTTTAAATTTGTTTTTTTTTTTTTGGTTTTGTAACCAATTTATCTTTTAGTGAAAAAAAAAAACTAAAAAAAAGCAAAAAACAAACTTTCCAAACAGCGCCTAAGCCTAAGATATTGTCCATCAGCCCTGTTATGCAAATGGAGTTGATTGAATTCTTTTATTCAGTTTGAATCCAGTAGCATGACATTTTTTGGTAAAGACGTGTTTTCAAAAAATAGATAGCCTCCGTTTGGGAAGTGAGTTGGCTTTTTGACTTTTTGGCTTTTTTAACCTGGGCTAAAAAATTTAGTTTGAGAAGAATTTTTTGGTTTTTTGATTTTTTTGACTTTTTTTGTGAGAGAAGAATGTAATGATTATGGGTTGGATGTGATATTTTATTTTTTGTGGTTAAAATAACCTATTTTGTCTTTTGTAGTTAAAATAATCAAAAAAATCCCGTTTAACTCTTATCAAACGGAGTCATAATATGGACCGACAATTGTCTTTTCTACAGGGAAGAAAGCACTCGTAGGTAATTCGATTTGGGTTATTTGTCATTAAAATTACAGCCCCCCAAATGCTTAGTCTGCTACTTTGGCCCAATGGGCTGGTTGAGTTTTTAACTCTATTTCCCATCAGGATTGCCTTGATTTGTCCTTCTCCTAGTAGTGCTTCTAACAAGAAAAAGGCTTTCAAGTTTCACCAGTATAGTAGGGTAAAAAGTCATACTAATTTTTGCAATTAGTGTATTTGGTTTCAATTTTCTGAATTCAATTTTTTAGAAATTAAGTTTTTTAATTTTTATATATTTTTTGTTTTTAATGAATATTTTTAAAATTCTAAGCAATTTTTTTTTTTTTTTTGTAGTTTTTTTAGATACACCTTACTTAGATGTATCTAAATAATAAAATATTTGTGAAAAAATATTTTTAAAAATTAATAAATATACAAAAATAAGAAAAAATGTATTGAATTTTCGTATTTTTTGTTATATTTTTTATATTTAGTGAAATTTTTAATGATTTTTTTACAAATATTATACTTTTTAAGTGTATTTATATTTGGTGTGTCTACAAATTTTAAAAATTGCTCGAAATATTAAAAAAATTCATTGAAAATAAAAAAAATACAAAAATAAAATTTCATGAAAAGTGTTTTCTGGAAACCAAAACCAAATAAGGTCGTTATTAGCACCGCATTTATTTTTTGAGATCTTTCATTTCTTTGAACTCTTATTTATAAATTCTAAAAGCCTTAAAAAAAATTCTTCCCCCAAATAATATCAAAATTATTTTTGTAAAAACATTTCACCAATTCAATTGAATGCACACCCCTACACCCCAAAAAGCCTCTCTCCTCAAAATTCACAAAAGTGATTACTACTTCATTTTCACATGCTTGTTTATGACCTGAGAAAAATAAATATAGGATTTTTTGTTATCAATTTAAAATTCCTCTCTTGTAGGTTCTGTGATCTCCACAAGTTTTGATTATCTGTTCCCAAACAAATAAGAAATGTTCGATTACCTGTTCTTCAACAAATGAACAATGTTCAGATTTGTGTTGCCGAATTTCAATCATATGTTTAGGAGTTTAGTCTCAAAAAAAATGACAAACAATTTTTTATTATTTTTTTCAAGAAACTTACCCTTACAAGACCAATATCCTCTAAACTAAGAACACTATCAAAATTATGAATCTCCTCTGAGCTTTTATTATTGTACTCCTCACGTCTTATGGAGTTGTGATTGTTGAAAAAACTTTCACTCATTGTCATTGTCGAAGAAATATAGGTAATCAAATAGTTGTCACCGCCAAAGAGTTTTCAAGGTTTTGAGTGTGGGTAGGTTTTGAAGGTAGGATTTGAAAAAGATGGATGGGTGGTGATAGAGGTGGATCCTTTCATAAATTCTAACTCATGATATTGTAGGTGCGCGCGCTTAATTGTAAGATAAAATATCCCAAAATAATTAGTACACTTTTTAATAATTTCATTTGAAATTATTATTATAATAAAAAAATTAAAATATTAGAGATTCAAAATAATTAATAAAGTATTAATAAAATGTTAATAGCAGCCCTCTTAATAAAATGTTAATAGCAGCCCTCTTTTCTCAATATATGTATTTATTTTGCTTTGGATACATTGAATGATTTAGTGGGAGACAAGGACCTTGTCTATGAGAAGGGATTGGTGGTCTTGGAGTATTACTCGACCCTATTTACTATTAGGCATTTATTTATTGGTCTCGTTAGAGAAAAAAAAACAACAACAACAACGAAATAATAGAATTCAGTGTTTTAACCAATCAAATGTAATTTTGGAGTATCACATGATTTTTCGCCTAGAGTAAAGTATAATTTCTCCTTGTCTATAGCAAGATTAGAACTTTTTGATCTGGTAGTAAGTTGTCGAAATATTATCCAAGTTTTAATGAATTTTGTTTTTATTTTTTAGAACTCTAGCCGACAAGCCTCTTAATACGAGATCACTGTTACCAAATTTTTCATAACAGCTATGTGACAAAAACCTTTGGCTAAAAGATTTGAAATTTGGGTATGTTTTGAAAAGTTAGTAAAAAATTAATTCTTTTGTTATTTTTTGATTATTTTTTTTAAAAAAAAAAATATGAGAAGATGATGTGATTCAAAATGGATAAAAAGTTAAAAAAAATTTCCCAAAATCCCCTTGATAATTATTTCCTATACAAAGGTTGTATAAGAATTAACATATTTTAATTGTAATTGCATAGTTGATGTAAACATGATTTGTTAATTTTTGGTTGATTCCAATAGCATGTAAATTTGATTTTAAGTTGTTAAAATCTTCTTAACGCATAAATCATATCAAATTATCAAAATAAAATTTACGATATAATGTTGTGATAACCAATAGTCTTGCCCAACCTTGCAAGGATAAATATTCTCTTTATAATTGTTCTCATATTGAGATTTCGTTTATTAATTATATATTTTAGTTAAAATGTTACTATTAATTATTGCATCATTCTTTTATATTTTTATATACCTTGAGAGGGAGATTTATGATCTGGATTGGGCCGTGGTGATGCCGGACAAATGGTGGGCCGAACACACTTGGGCCGTGGTAGCCTGGGCCTACCCAGAAGGGATCTTTGCTTGGTAATGGCAAAGGGCGTGTGGAACCGAGCTACTCAGACTTGTTGGTACGAAAGCCAGTCAAGTGAGGGTTCGGCTGAGATGTCCGCAGCCTCACAGGGTTCCACGGTTCGTGCGTTGCTCGGTTGGAGGGCGCGCACCTGTGGCTCGACATTAAGGCCTTTCGTTAACTGGCATGCCCTACTTCAAGCTTGGCTTTGCCGGAGTGCACCCGAGCTCGACTTTTACGGAGCTCGGTTGTTAGAGCATTCGGGTATGAAGTGCAGCATAGCCGTAGGAAGCCGAGATGCTACATCCCGGCTGCCAAGCTTCCAGTAGAGTGGGCTGGCAGTTGAGGTAGGTGATGTTCAGCTGGATTTGTACTGACGGATGAGATAGCAGCACCACGTGTCGAGAGACCAATGGGAGT